AAAAACATGGCATGACACGACTACATCACAAGTACTTATGTGCAGCAGGGGAGGTGTTTTTGCTCCGCACGCGTCTAAAAAGACCCCGCGGCCAGTGGAGGACCGCCCTTAACGTAAACGTCTGCAGCTTCCCCTGCGTTTGTTCTCCCCGTGTAGGGCGCACGTGGAGCTACTGTAAATCCGTCGGCGGGCCAGGGGCCTCATGGGCACACCCCCTCACCACAGTTAGCGCCGATTCGCCGGGCCCAGCGGGCCAGAGGCACGCTAAAATCCCCGTCAAGAGCTTAAGAGTTTTTCTGGTTCGCGCGCGCGTGGCGGCCCCTGGGGGTCCCCGGACGACAAAAACCCCGACAAGGTCCCGGCAAGGGCCTGGCAAGTCCCGGTAGGTTCCCGGCAGGTTCTCGGTAGGGTCTGGTCAGAGATGCCGGAACTCCTGGGCGCAGCCTCGGGGGCCCCCGGAGCGCCCAAATGAGGCGCCGAATGGGTGGCAGGCCCCGAAAACGCCAGAATCATTGATTCCGCGTCGGCTTTCGGACGGATTTGGCGGTGTCGCCTTTTCGAGCTGTCGACCGCCCTGGACGGCCTTAGAGGACCCAAGATCGCTCCAAGACGGCCCAAAAAGCCTCCAAGAGAGCCTCCAAATTGCCCAAAATGGCCCTAAGACGGCTCAGGAGGCCTCCAACACGGCCCCAAGATGGCTCCAAGAGAGAACCCAGAAGGGAACACGAACGAGCTCTCGGCCCCACGAGGCGCTCAAGAAGCCCCCAGAGGCCACCACGAGCCCCCCAAGAGGCCCAGAGAGGACCCCAAGAGGCCCCGAATGTTGGGGGCCCCAGGAAGCCCCAAGAGAACCCCAAGAAGCCCCCAAGAGCCCCCCAGAAGCCTCAAAACTACTCCCCAGAGGCTCCCGAGAGCCCTCCGAAGAGACCCCAAGAAGCATCACTGAGGACTCTGACCCACAACCCAGGTACGTATCGAACATCTGCTGGAGCTCTCTTGAGCCATTTTGGCGCTCTCTGGAGCATTACACTGGCACTCTTCGACTGGGTGGAAGCCACATCTCCAAGATCTGCTCGAGAACATTCCTGCCTGCCCTACCGTTCCCCCTGGGCACGGATACACCACCACGCAGCCACAGTGATGCGAAACGGACTGGCGGAATGAACGAAGCGATCAAATAAACACTTACGTGCCAGGCCTGGTGCCTCGGAATAGCCGCCCTCCGCACCGCCCTTCCGCTCCCCACCAAGCCGATGCTCGGCGTCCCCTTCACCATGTCTGGAAGTCGACCCGTATGGTAAGGATGCACGGTAAGGATGCAAGGGCCTTGGAGGGCCATGCTAACGTATTTCGAACGAGGTTGGCCAGTGAAAATCAATGAGGTTGAGCCGAGGAGGCACGGATGCAAGGGTACCCTTGGGAAGGCTGCCCATCCTTACTATGCGGGTTGATTGTGTACGTGAGCGCAGCGACTGCCAGCTCACAACGGGGCGCCGTGCGAGGCAGGGCAGCTCCAGGGATGGGTGCGCCGAAGAGGGGGGGGCAGGAACGGAAGGGGTGGCGCAGCAGATCCCCCGAGGCACCTGCGCGGACGAGGGCGCGGGCCAGAGAACGTGCTGAGAGAAGAGAAGGCTCCTCCTCCATCTCCTTCTCGTCCTCCTCCTCCTCCTCCTCCTCCTCCTCCTCCTCCTTCTCCTCCTCCTCCCCTCCTCCTCCTCCTCCTCCTCCTCCTCCTCCTCCTCCTACTCCTCCTCCTACTCCGCCAGCCTCCTCCTCCTCCTCCTCCTCCTCCTCCTCCTCCTCCTCCTCCTCCTCCTCCTGGCCGTTCCCGAGCGCTCCGGAACGCCCTGGACGGATTGATACCTCCTGGTCCTGGTCCCGCCCGGCCCCCCCCTCTCGGACGCCTCCCGGTCGCCGGCGGGGGGGCCTCCAGCCCTGCCACCCGGATCATCTCGTTCTGCAAGATCTGGCGCTCCTTGGGGCTCGCCGTCTGCCACATGCGCTCCAGCTGCTCCGACGCCTGCGGCGGGGGAGCGGCTCCTCCTCCTCCTCTCTCCTCCTCCTCCTCCTCCTCCTCCTCCTCCTCCTCCTCCGCCAGCCTCCGCCAGCCTCCGCCCCTCCCGCCAGCTCCCTCCTCCTCTCTCCTCCTCCTCCTCCTCCTCCTCCTCCTCCTCCTCCTCCTCCTCCTCCTCCTCCTCCTCCTCCTCCCTTTCGCTTCCCCCTGGCGGGCGTTGGGCGAGGCGATAATGCGGATCACCGACTCCCGGAAGGAGGACTCCGGGCCTCGGTGGAGGGACACTCGCGCTCGCACCACGCTGGCGGCTGCGGGAGCGCTACGGTGCAGCATCCGCTCTCGTCGGCAGCGCGGCACGGAGGGATCCGTGGAGCCTCCTCGGGAATCCTGGGGACACCGCGGGCCAGGGACACTTGCGGCCGCACCCAACACATACACGTGAATCAAGCGTCACCAGATCCCGATGCGAACCCTGATTTGGCCTCT